TGTTTATTTAAAAAATTCAAATTTCCGAAGATTTTAATTTGAAACCTTTTAAAAATTCAATTATTTCTAAAAATTTACGCTCTAATGCTTTTAATATTCAATTATAATCTAAAATTTTAACTAAAATCTATTTGGAATGCCTAAAAAGAATTTTATTATTTAGGAAAATAATCGAATCCCTGTAAAAATTGTATTATTTATGAAAATAATTGAATTTTTGTAGAATTTTATTAAAATTTAATAAAAAAGATTTTTCCAAAAGAATTCAACTTTATTAAAATAGCAAATATTGAAAATCATTGAATTGAGGAAAATTTCGAAAATAATTGAAATTTTGCCTAGAATTTTATTAAAATTATTGAAAATAATTTAATTTCGGAGAAGAATTTAATTATTTCTAAAGATAATTTCTAAAGATAATTTCTGCGAAGAGTTTTATTACTTTTGAAAATAATTTGAGTAATTTAATCTTTTTTGGTATTAATTTAAGCTTGCAATGCTTTTTAATACTTCTTAGTTCACTGTGTTTGCAATATTATAATTAAATTATTATTTACACAAATAAATATAAAAAATAGTGCAAATTACAATCAATGTTTGCTTTTTGATAGTTACAAGCATTGATAGTTCCAACAAACATCAATAAATTGCAAATAGCAAAAAGTAACACTTAATTCTATTTCTTCTGCAATATTTTTTTATCCACGTTTAAAGACACTTTTTAAATTCTTTTTTTAAAACGTTCTTTTTTTATACGCTTTTTTTATATACGCTTCAAATTCAAGATTTCATAATCCGGAAACGGTCTTCCTTTCGTTCGTTTCTTTGTATTACTGTAATTTAATCTACTTAGTCAGTATATTGTACAAAGTAACTTGAAATATAAATATTTAATCCTGTTACTTAATTTGCCATTTTTACATAATTTAAATACGATTTTGCAATTCGCAGATTTAGTATTATAGATAAATTTTTATTTTACAATATTGTTTTCAGAGACAGGAAAAAGAAATTTTTTCCCGATTCAAAATTTAGATATAATTGTAGAAAAATTAAAAAAAAACCGAAGTGCTTAAAATTTAGTTTCCAACCAAAATCTAGAGATGAGAGAGATTTTAGTTTCTATATAAATTAGATTCACTTTTAAACTTCCAAACTGATATTTCCATTTCTTGTTGAGGTTTACAAAGAGGGTCTTTGTATTAGCAAACTGAAACCTCTTTAATTGACTTTAAACAAAGTTTCGAGAGTTTAGATTAAGGATCTAAATTTTGACTTGGCTTCTAGTTTATAGTTGGCGAAATGTCAGTAAATTCTAAATTACTGCGAAAATATAATTTTTGTTTATAGAGAGAATTTATAACCTTAGACTATTGTAAGATACATTTAACCTCCAGAAAAAGTAAATAAATGAAATTAAAAAAAGCCATTATTGACAAAATCAATTAAAACGATCACGATCATACACTCGATAACTACCAGCATTTATTGCTACACACTATTTATTGAAATTGACAATAATTGAAACTACTATATTGATATTGTAACTGGAACTGCCATAAATTGTAAAACTGAATAAAGTAACATTTTAATGTCACAAAATAACGACTATTACATAGAAATTTAAAAACGAGTTTAAAAATGCTTTCTCCATTAAAAAAAATCATCAAAGTGTCCCATATATATCGCTTTCCTCTTTTACAAAGTTATTTTCAATTTATAGGTGCCAGTATAATACCGACAAGAAAGCTGTTAATACATCGTATAGTTGCAACAGTTTGAATATATATTGCTTTCAACCGTTTATCTGACAAAACCCGTTTTGCAGGTAGAATAAAAATAAACGAAAAAAATCTTTTTATCACTCCAAAATTCTAATTTTGATACTAGTAACAACAATTATAATTATTGCTATATTATTATTATCATTGCTATTTTTTTAATGCATTTAAATTTACATATTCTATAAATAAATGCAAAAAAAGAGAGGAAAAAATGTATACTCTTTATCAGCGTTGATTGGAGCGACAGTTCTGATAGTCAGTCAGAGTAAAATATTTAAAACACGAATGGTTTGAGTGCGCATTCCTGACGCACATATAGTAGTGACAAATTATTGTTACCGTTACTGGCAGCCAACTATTATGTAAACGTGTATATATGCAGATGACGGTCATTTTCCATTTGCGTAAAACGCGGCCCCAAACTAGAACCACGAATCCCGTGACAATTCCGATATTTGATGGAGCAATGAATAACGCAAATCACAAAATCTATGCGCACAAATCTCCACCAAAGATAATACACACTATATATATTATACATTAACATCAAAATAGTTATAGGCCCATGGGCGCAGCATTATCGTTTCATTTCGTATTCAAATAGTAAATTATCATTTCTAATATTAAATTCGAAAATTCATTATTTTATAAGGGAACGAAATTTTATTTTTTCGGAATGGTAACAAATTGCAACTATCTTTAGTTACATCCTTAGTTGCAGCTCTTTTAATTTAAAATTTATATTTTAATTTGCTATATTACCTAAATATTCCAACTATCTTAAATTATATTTAGTATTATATAATTTTAATCAATTGATGATAATCACAATTAATGGTAGTTTACCATTGTCTCTAAATGTGGATAAAAAAATTTTGCAGAAGAAATAGAATTAAATGTTACTTTTTGCTATTTGCAATTTATTGATGTTTGTTGGAACTATCAATGCTTGTAATTATCAAAAAGCAATCATCGATTGTATTTGGCACTATTTTTTATATTTATTTGTGTAAATAATAATTTAATTATAATATTGGACGTTCTATAATTATTGTTAAAATTATCATTGTACAGAAATGAAAATGAATGATATTTACAACTGACAAATAGTATCGCCAGTCGTCGCACTTTAAAGAAAAATAGTATCACCATAAAATTCCGCTTTATTTTCACAAATAAGAAACGTGCATTTACTGCTTCCCTTTTTTATGCTATCATGATGCGTATACATAAAAAAAGAAGACATTTTCATTGACCAGAAGTAAAGAGGTCAAAGTCATAAATTTAGAGAGAGAGGGGACACGATAAACTTCCATATTGTAATTTAGTTTGAAATCTAATTTAGTAATCTCATTGTCGACGGGTCTTCCGATAACATGTTATAACTAACCGCCGCGTAACTCGCAGAAAAGCCAGCAGAAAAGTCGATATGACGAGAGATAATTTCTAGAGGAAGTTATTTTGAAGAGGTCTTTTTCAAATGAAAGTAACGCCCCTTTTTTGCAATCACTTCCCGCATCGACTTCTTTATACGGCCATAGAATTTGTTACACGTTGAGAACTTTAATGACTGTCGCCTCTCACGAATAGTTTACCCGGCTTTACGACCAAGTCGTATAACTTCAAGGCTATGTGTCAGAGGAAAGAGTATAAAACCCGAAAGAATCCAATGAAGATTCTCCAAAGTAACAAAAATCACTATTTACAACTATTTACAAACATCATAGTTACAAAAGGTTGTTTTGTTTTAAAAATATATTCAATTCCCGTGTGTTCTAATTCAAAACGTACCTTTTAAATACCTTCATTTGATGAAAATGTAAAAAATTGTACAGATTTAAAATTTTCTTTGAAATCTTTTTTTTCCACTTTTCAAGGAGAGTGAAATTTTCGCTATTGCCAACAACAACATGAAGACATTAGAGAGAAGGGATTATGAAATATTTGCGAATGCAAGAAACGAATAAGCGTGAGTCTCACTTTTCTAGGTGCAGTAAACTGCATACTTAAATGCTAACGCTGAAATGATCAAAGTGGCCGCAAAGAACGCCTGGAATTGCAGGTTTCGCGAGTCGGTAAAACATGTCGAAGGACGGCTTATATATACCTATATAAACAGTAGCTCGCTCCAATTTATGTTGGCATGTTAAGAGGAAATTTCCAATGCTACTTCCGTTTCTGCAGAAAATTACTAATCAATTCACACAATCATCATACTCCAAACATGTTTTTCAATATAATAAGATATAACTATAACTATGTACTAAACAATTTTAATGTTCTTTGATAATTGTAAAATAACTGTTTATTCATATTAATATTTTTGCCTTTGCTTTTGTTTTTGTCTCATTATATTCTTCTTTTACGATACAATTACCATGCAGGAAAAGATTTTCGTCCTCATAAGAACAGATAGCATTTTTTCTTTTGGACATAAATCAATGTTCCCCTCGATTTCTTCTTATTAGTTGCACTGGGTTTGATAAAGCTCTTCTTCTTACTTGTAAGCGAGGAGCACAAAGTCTTTACGACTTTTTTTATTCTTTTTTTTTCATTTCATTCAATGCGGCTTTGCCCAGTATGTATTACGAATTGCCACGCTCGAGATACCTTTAAATCCTTTCCTTTGACGAGACATATAATTGAACTTTGAGTAGAGAAATTGAAAAGAAAAATAGTTACTGCTATCCCATGCGGTGATTGTAAATTTTAGTCATCAGTGCAATGACCTTTTACAAAAAGATCTCTTCTTATTTATTAACATTAAATTTATGAAATTTTAAATTTGTCCGGAAAATGTATTTTTAAAAAATGTGCTTTTTAAAAATACGTTTAAATAATATACATAGAGAGAAAAATGTACATGAATTATTTTAATCGTCTGCAAAAATAATGAGAGACGCATTTCGATCTTTTAGAAGTTGGAAACTTTCTTGTGAAATTCAGATGCTTTTCATCTTTAATTGAAATAAAGATAGTCTTGAGTTTGCTTTTAGGGCAGTGAAAAAAAAGTTGAAATTCATTATTAGGATGAGAGTTTGCAAAAAGAAAAAAGTAAAGTTTATAATGATGGAAGAAAGGATCCAGGGAGATTTAATTCTTAAATGTATTGAAAATAAATCTAAAGGATGAAAACTTCATTATTAGTTTAATTATAAATTCATTAACTGCGTGGAAAAAAATTGTAAAAAAATGGTATTTTTTTTTATTCTTCAGGTGCGTCAATCCGTGGATCATCCCCAGTGAATGCTGTGCAGAATTTACAAGGTATTTACACATAAATAAATAGTTTTATTTATTTGAAATATTTAATTCTGTTTTTCTGTTATATAACTATAGAAATATATTTATAATATAATAATTAATAATTTAAATTGAAAATCATTGAATTCTTGCGAAGCAATTTACAATTTAAAAAAATAATTAAATTGTTTTGAAGAAACGAAAAGGAAAAAATTAAAATAATTGAAAATAATTTAATTCAATTTTTGACAAAAATTTTATTATTTATAAAAATAATTAAATTCTTCCGAAGAATATGTTGTTATTTATGAAAGTAATGTAATTCTTGCGAAGAATTACATTACAAGTTTTGAAAATATAAACAATAGTAATTAATTACGTACTTAATAAGTGATTTTTTAAAATTTTGATTAAGAAAAAAAATTATTATTATTATTATTATTCAAAAATTAAAATTTGAAAAGAAAAAATTCTAGAATTTGCATTAGAATAATAAATTGAATATCACGTTCCGCGCGCAATATTTGCTAGCATATTTAGAATTTTTGATAATTAGTTTATTACAACATTTTTTAGTATATATTGATTATTATTATTATTATTATTAGGTATTATTATTGTTTACCAAAGACTTTGAAACTATGCCGGAATTCGGGCATGAAATTGTTTGCTAGTTTCGCCTTTGAATAACAAAAAAAGGAAAAATATTCAATTTTCAAATAATATTTCCATAGTTTAGTATTTGAATTATTATTAATTATAATTAATAATAATTAGTATTTAATTTGAATTATTCCTTGAATTATGTAAATTATGTACCTAATTATTATTAATTAAACTAATAATAAATAATAAGAGTAATAATAGTTAAATTATAATGATTATTATTTTTAATATTATTATGAGTATAAATTATAATAATAAAATATTATTAATACTCGATTTAATAACAGTAAATTAGAGGAAAAGTATAATTAGGAAAAATGGCTCTAAAAATAGATTTACCTTTAAAATGTCATCGTCCTCAGCACCGAGGACGAACGAGTATTGTGTGTTGATCGCGTGATTACGATTCGTCTGAGAGTCCTTGCACGCACTAAACCACTAAATAAAGGGTGTCGAAGCAGCGAGAAAATGATGGGAATGTCAAGTGGTGGAAGTTCGAGTCAGATACAGTAGTATAATGAAAGGAGAGAAATCTATTACAATATAAGACGACGGTGTGAATGGTGCCTATGGCGTGGTAAAAGAGGTAAAAGATAAAACATAACCACTCAGTGAGAAAATAAAGTGGGTAAGGTCAGGGCTACTTCAAAGTCTCTGTTGGTCTCTGTGTAACAAAAGTAATAATAATCGTTTCGTGTCTTCTTATTTTACCACAAAATGCGCTATTAACTTTTCAAGCGAGAGCCGCACATTATAACATTCAACCTGCTTTCAACCACACGTTTCTTAAAATGCTTAAAATTAAATTCATTATTTTACCCTTCTTAACAAGTTGCTTTTCACTTTTCAAACAATTTTATTTCTTTATCTTCATTTGTTTGCGGTTTGATTTTAATTTCCTGAATTACTGGAACTGTTTACTTATTTTCAAAGTTCAAACCACAAAGATTCTTTCCTTTAATGGTAGTTACTGATATTATTAGCAACTGCAAGATTCAAAAATCAGAAAAGTATATTTTCACTCAAAAAATAAATATGCGAATTATTTTTAAAGGTATTAATTTCAATGCTTATAAATTGTATGAAAGTTTTCCCTATTCTAGTATTTTTAGAAAACTTTCAAATAAAATTTACATGTAATTAAACATTCGTTTCTTTCTTTCTTTCCGTTTTTTCTTTTTTTTTTCGTTAAAAAAAAATGCTCTCTTGACTCTTTCACATTGGAGTGCACTATTTTCATGTTCAGATCTTGATGATAAAGAATACAACTTGCATGAACTCATTTTCTCTAATGTTTATCTTCATTAAAGTCAAGTGTTGTTTCTTTATTATTATTTTTTATCATTTGTTAGATTTTATGTTCATAATAATTTTCATGTCACGAATTCATGACAATTTTTACATTTTTCTTTCTCTCCTTTTTTCTTCCCTTTAAATTTGAATATATTTTAATATTGATTATTGTCTATTAATTTTTCTTATCTATTTTTTAATAAATTGTTCTTGTAAATATTTTCAAATTTTCACATAATATACAAATAATTTAAATAAGTTAAAAAGATTAGAATATTTCTTTTATTTTTTAATAATTCGAAAAAAATAGGTGAAAATATGTTTTTAATAATAAAATTGATTAAATATTTATTGAATTAATAAATATTAATAAATTGAGATATTTTGAAATAATAAGATAATTATAAATGAGGAACGTGTACATTAAAGTTTGTTCTTTGAATGTCATTCAACCTCAAATATTGAATATCGAGTGATGTCTAAATGTAATGTAATTGAATATAATGACATGCAAAATTTAGTGTCATTAATCTTTTAGAAATTGTTATCAATATTTGCCTTCAAATTTGATGACAATGTTACAAGAAAACATAAATTTTCGTCTGTCATATTTATAATTCAGTTAATGGTATTAATTTTTTGATGAATTGATTTCACTTAGTTTATTAATATTTATATTTCATAATTTATATTATCCGAAAAATCACGTTTATTTGACAGTTAACAGCATGTGACTGTTACAGAAATCAATGTTAATTTTTTCGACCACTTTTCTCTTAAAATATTAAATAAATTCAGCTAGTTTTTTGTGAATAACTCTAAAATATAATAAAGAAGAGCAGTGATGTGCAAAAGTTTTAATAATTCTAAAATAAATTATAAAAAAATACTTTGAAATCGGAAAAGACGAGAAATTGATTAAAAGTGATTTTGAGAACTGATAATTTTAAAGTTATTTTTTAATAAATAATTTTAAAAATATTAAAACTTTTTCACATCACTGCCCTTCTTTATGATATTTTAGAGTTATTCACAAAAAACTAGCTTAATTTATTTAATATTTTAAGAGAAAAGTGGTCGAAAAAATTAACATTGATTTCTGTAACAGTCACATGCTGTTAATTGAATTAAACAATAATTATTGTTTTAATTCAATTGTCATTTATTGTGCATAATTTATTGTAATTTATTGTTTATGGTATTATTTGTAATTGAGATTATTTAACAATGAAATTATTTTTAATTAAAATAAATTTTAAATGATTATTATATATATTTGGGGAATAATTTTGATTTGAAATAATTTTAATTGGAAAAAGTTTTGCTTGAAGTACTTGTTGGTATTAAATAATATTTATAGGATAAAATTATTAATTTCAATTATTATAATTTCAATTGTTTAGAATTTCAATTATTTATAATTTCAAATAATTATATATATTTTCAATTATTATAATTTCAAATATTTATAACTTCAATTCATTGAAAGAAAATCATTTTTATTGATTGTAATTTCCGTTAATTATAATCTTAATTAATTTTAATTAACAATAACTTTGATTAGGTCTAATAAGTCGAAATCAAAATTAATTAAAATCACAGAGGAATAATACATTTTTTTCAAAACTAACATTCTAATTTTTTGTTTCCATTAGTAATTACATAATTTTTTTCAAAAATTTTCCACTGAATTTTCAATTGAATTTTGTCCTTTTCAAAGGACTTTTGTCATGTCGGAAAAAAAATATTTTCCCTTTATGAATAACGAAGCAGAGGTTTTTCTTTCTTTTTTTTCTCTCTGTATATTGCGTTTGCCTGAATTTTTTTTCTCCCTCTCTCTCTCTCTCTCTTGTCATTTCGTCTGTTCGTGCGAAAATGCGAAAATGCAGAGAAGCAGACTTTTAAATAATACATTTTCTCGGAGCTGAAACTTATAGTACGAGGTATAGTGAATTCTCGAGGATAGTCTCGCACGGGTTGTTAACGGCACTTGGGACAGCATCACTAGACAGTGGAGGAATTGTCCGTCCGTTCCTCCCACTCCCAACTGACTAAACCCTCGTCGCAAGTTAATCTAATTCGGCAAAACTACAGTTAGTAGCACTGTATTCGCTCGGAACTAATTTTCTCCCAGCGAGTCAGGAGATGCCTCGCAGCTTCTTTGCTCGATTACCGCTTTCATATCCTGGAAATTGAGGACGCGGGCGCAATATTGCGCGTGTAACTTGAATTAATTCGCTGATAAATTAAACTACGCACTCGTAGGCAAGTGTTTGTTGTTTAGGTAATTTTTTATTTGCATATCTTCTGCTAAGAGAATGTTTTTAGCTATTAGTTACACCACACTGAAAAAAAAATTTTACTTGATTCAAATAAACGATTAATTGACTATCAATTAAATATTTAATTTAATCAAATAATATTTATTAAAGTCAATTAAATTATATATTTATTTGCTTCAAATACTGAAATTATTGATTCAAATACCATTTAATTGACTTCAATAAATATTATTTTATTCAAGTAAATATTTAATTGATAATAGTCAATTAATCAATTATTTGAATCAAATAAATTTCTTTTTTTAGTGCAACGATTGTAACCAGCGATCACCATAATTTTATGGAATTTGAAGAAAAAGTCTATTGTACAGTAATTGCTTTTTTTTCTTTTTGAAAAACTTGCGAAACATTTGATAAAAAAGAAATAAAGAAAAGAAAAACATGACTACTTTGATATAATCAAGAATAATTAACATTCCACGATGAGTGCTAACAGGTATTGTCATGACTTTAAAAGCAGAAAATATACCTTGTGAAAAAATGTATAGCTTAAGATTCTTAATAATGTAAGCCTCTAGATAGCAATAATATAACATATAATTACAGACAAATAAAAAAAATGCATGACGATAATCGTTAACTGCTTGATGCACGATAAAAATGTCTAACCTTCAGATATATTACAAGAATAAAAATACTATTAAGGTATATACAACAAAAATTTATACCATTACAGCACTTAATCGCCAAAATGGGTGATAATAAAAAACAAGCGATTATTAT